TATAGATGAAATAACGGAGATATCACCAAGATACAGTGTAATTAGACCTGGTAGAATAATCTCTTTGGAATGGGAAAAGATCGAAAATAGCAATAACATTAATAGCGGTACGTTGGATGCTATATTGGCAAAAAATAAAGACAAGAGAAGATAAGAAAACTAGTAAACCAAATAAGTAATATTAAGGAATAAAATAGAAATACAGCCCAAGGAACGCCCTAATAATTTACAATTTTACAGTAGAACGATGTTCATATGAGCACCAAAATTATTTAATAAATTACCGGATGCAGTTAAAGAATTAAATTGTAGACAATTTAAAATGAAATTGCATAATTTGTTAGTTACCCAGTGCTACTATAATATTGATGATTTTTTTTTACTTGATGACATAAAATGTAAAATTCAACTATTGTATGTTATATTTTTTGAATTAAATTTAATGTATGCTACATCAAAAGCAAAATAAGCATTGTATAAAATATTTTCATGCCAAGTTTTGGTGAAATGTCCGATCTAATATAATATACTATAAGATCTGCACTATTAGCTAAATTTTTACAGCGAATAAATATCTTGTAAATTGTAAATATTCAAATTCAAATTCAAAATAATCTTTATTTCATAGATAAGCATTATTACACTTGAAATCGTCACAATGGTTAAACTCTACCGCTCATTCGTAAGGCAGATTCCCCTGAGAAGAATGAGCAAGAAACTCTAGGGGTTGCTCTTTGTAAATAACATTTGTAAACATTTAAGATTTACAATATATTTTTTTTTATTTGAAACATCAGAGATGGAGACTACCTCCATGAGCTAAACGGATTACTACCACGGATTTTTGCCATCCTAGTACGCAGAAGTTGTATAATAACCTTTAGTATAAAGTTTTTGTTTCACTGTAGTTAAAAACCTCGTGAAAGGCAAATTTTGTATATCGACCGGAATCTGGTTATAGACGCGTATACATTGCCCCTTAAATGATTTTTTGACTTTGTGAAGACGACTATCAAGAAAAGCTAGTTTATTTTTATTCCTAGGATTAATGTTACGTCTGTCACTATTTGTCATAAAGAAATTGCTATTCCTTTTAACATAAATTACATTTTCATAAATGTACTGTGAGGCTAGTGTAAGAATGTTAATTTCCTTGAACTTATCTCTCAAATATACTTTGGGGCCCAGATTGTAAATTGCCCTAACTGTACGTTTCTGCAGCACAAAGATTCTATTGATATCGGCGGCATTACCCCAAAGCAAAATGCCGTATGTCATTAGACTGTGAAAGTAGCTGAAGTAAACCAATCTAGCGATTTCGACGTCTGAAAGTTTCCTTATTTTTTTAATCGCGTACACTGCAGAGCCGAGCCGCTTTGATAACTAACTTATATGGGGACCCCGTTGCAATTTAGCATCTAACGTTATACCTAGAAATACAACTGTATCCACAAGATTCAATTTTTCGTTTCTAACTACAATGTTTGTAATCGTCTCTCTAACATTGGGTAATGTAAATTTCACACAATTTGTTTTTTTCTCATTAAGGAGTAGCTTATTAACATCAAACCAATCAATTACTTTAGATATAGCATTGTTCACATAGTTGTAGGAATATTGGTGCCTTTTAACTTTAAATAATAAAAATATTATCTCATGTTTTATACCCTCCATAAGGCTAGGTAAGTCATTAATATAAACTAAAAACAAAAATGGGCCTAGAATTGAACCTTGAGGGACACCCATGCTAATTGCAGACCCTGATGATCTCGTACCGTTAACATCGACCCTCTGTACTGTAGTCTAGGCTCTACTCTATGAGTTGATGTTCTTTCTTTCTATTCTATTTTTTCAAACACATTCTAAATACGAAACTATATTCATTCCGCCAGTAGTTCTACTCATAGAGTAGAGCCTAGACTACTAGTACCCTACCACGCAAATACGATTTAAGAAGGTCGACATCACGTCCCGCTACACCATAATGGCGAAGTTTCCTGACCAGTGTCTAAACTACAAAATGAATACTTGGCGACACAAATAGTAAAGGTAACTCTTTCGCAAGGTGCTCTACTGCTGCTAATTGTTACTTACTTGTTAGTGAAACAATAAAGTGTTTATCGAGGTCTTAGGTTTTCGCGATTGTTACATTTAGGAAATGAAACAATTTTTTTCGGATCTAAATCGCCCTCATTTGTTTTTCAAACAAACCAACGTTTCGGGCCCTTTACAGGTCCTATAGTCACAACTGACGCCAGGTTCCGGACCTGTAAAGGGCCCGAAGCGTTGGTTTGTTTGAAAAAATAAATATACGCGTTTCAGGTTCGAAAAAAATTGTTTATTTTTCTAATAAGATATTTATTACATAAAATTACTTTGTCAAGAATATTTTACATTACGAAAACTATATAAATATCACAAAAACCCGTGTATGAACACGAAATCTTTGCGTGATGTCGATATTATATTTATTACTGGCATACATGTAAAGGCTGTATGTATATCACTATTGCTATTTTGCCCAGTGCTGATGTCGGATCAAAATTCAATGTCTACTGCATCATTCATCATCATCATATACAGCCTGACTTCACCCACTGCTGGGTATAGACCTCCAAGTTTCATCGTTAGTTATATTTTATTCAACAAAATCTAATAAACAGCTACCGGTTGGTAGTTTGCGTCGTTTGCTCGAAGTTTGCCAATATTGAGTGGTTCTCTAATCCCAGTATCGCAAATAGTAAAATGTATCAGTGACAACCTGCTTTTAAAATAAAAGAGAGACTTTTCACCGGAAAGGCAGTTGAGAAAGTTTTGGAACGACAAAATTAATATCATATTAATATTTTTTTTTTTAAATTCGATAATTTAGCGTATACTATTTTTGAGGCAGTGTGTGTATATAACGTACATCTTTCATAACTTGTGCTTTATATTTTAGTGCGGTTTCCTTGAAATGTGCTTGTCATAAGTCAACACCTTTTCTGTAGGGCTTCATCATCATCATCAACCTTTTTATACGACGTTGGGCATGTGTTTCCTTTCAAGCAAAGATTTAGACTATAGTCACATTTCCTCTCAGGCAAAGGTTCAGCCATAGACCAATGCGGTTGGGGACTTCACAGGTTTTCCGAGTTTTGTGAACCTGCTTCGACGTGCAGATTTCATTATGATGTTTTTCCTTAAACGGGAATGCTCATGGTATATTTCGAATGAAATTTCGCACATAAATTCTGAAAAACTAAGAGATGCGAGTCCGGATAGAACCCACGGCCTCTGCTTGAGAAGTGGTAGGTCAAATTATTAGGCTACTAAACGCCGTGGAAATCACTTATCAAACCATCACATATCTTGTCACCCTCTGTAGACCAAGCTGAAAAGACATCATCGTAAATATCATTTAGAAATTTGAATTCTTTTTCAGTATAATTGTTGTCACGCTCAGGAGATTCTAAGAAAAAACATATTTTGTAGTAATATGCTTTAATTATGAAATCAGAATAAATAAATAAATAAATCGTGTATATTTATTTTTTCAAACAAACAAAGGTTTCAGGCTCTTTACAGGTCCCATGTTCACGGCTGACTGAGATGGTAAAATCGTCAACCAGTTATGTCTAATACTAATGCAAACCACCCTATTTTACATTCAGAGTTAAACATTTAAAAAATTGATTCTGCCAATTTGCGAAGTATCTAGCGTAGAACAACATTGTAACTGGTAGACTCGATAGATGTTTTCCACAGAAAACCATGGAAAGTGGTACGTTCGATAGCTCTAAGACTAGAAATAAACACGTGTACTGTCGAAAGTGCCAATTACAACTTTGTCTAAATTACATACACCTAGAACACTATCGAATCTCCCCTTTTCGATAGTTTTTCTTGTCTGACCAGCCACCTGGCCACTTGGATAAGAAAAAACGACATAAAGAACTAATTATTTTAAAAATATTTAGGAACTAGTTACATAAGTGATATTTTAGATAATTTATTTTTGATATTATGAAGGGATATAACAAAATTGTAAATACTTACCGAGTTAATTATATTTTTTTTCGTTAGACGTGGTTTCACCGTGACATTGTTATTTATGTTTTGATACGAAATTAACCACACATCTACCTCAGCTATTCATTTTTAAACTCCGATTTAAAAAAAAAACAACGAACAAAACAAAAAATAAGTAACTAAAACAACCTAAAAGTAAACGAAAGAGACATGCCGTCACTCTCTCACATCGCATCGCGGCGAATACCGACGATTCGGTCAGTTACCAACTGTGTGCGCACACCGTCGCTTTAGAACAGTATCGATTGTACCTTGTTCGATAATGTTTGTCGCTCATAGTATGAAGTACCGATAATATTCAATTTAAAACTTCCCTTAATATGATTTTTTTTGACCAAACTGTATATTTTTCTAATAGTGTATCATATACTCTTACAATTGATGCAATAAAAAAAAAAAGATTTTGCAGTTTCGATACTGCTTGTTGCGGCAGTTGAATTGGTACTAACCTGTTCCATTTATACCATTATTCATTATCCAATGGAACAACTGGGATATAATAGTGCCACCTATATACCATTAAAGGTATAAATAGGACAGGTAAATACTATTTATACCATTACTTTTTAAAATCCAATGGTATAAGTGGGATAAAGTAGTGTCACCTATACTATTACAGATATAAAGGGGACAGGTAAGTACCAGTTTTTTTTTTTTTTTTTATTTATTTATTGTATAAAGGACAAAATACATTTTCGGCGCGTATAAAATACGCCGTGTGCGTAGGTTCTTACCTGTCTATAAATTTATTTATACATAAGGAAGAATTCTTTCGACCCGGTTCGACTCGAATATGGACACCCACAAATTGCACACAAACTCACGAGAGAAATAGATGTAGGCCTTACAAATATTTCTTTGTTCTGTTGAAACCCAATGGACTTGTTTGTTAATTATATTTATTTAAATAAAATTAGTTTGTAAAGGATTGATATTTTTTTATTTCTACAATATTTAAAACCTTATAGCACAACAACAATGTATTACATTATCTGTGGTTCTTCATGTAATCTGTATGAACTTCCAACAAATAGTAAACAGTTTGCCGCAATCCATATCTTGTTGATTATTCTCCTGCTATAGTCGTTTGAGCAGAATCATCTGAATCTGTACATTTTGTCGTCGACTCTGTACTTATTGAATATCTTGTGTTTTTTGATGATTTTGTGGAACCTAAAAGAAATTAATAATATAATCATTAACATGGGATGCACGAGAGGAGCCTTCACGACCATTCCCTTCCTTCCTTTTCCTGTACTTTCGGCGCAACCTGTGCGAGTTTGCAAGTAGTGCCACCTTTCCTATGTCTGCCTCCAACTAATAATGCTCACATTAATACCCAAATATCTATTAACTGGGACAGATTATAGCCTTCATGATCTTTATTGCACGATATTCAAACGTATTTAAAAGTATTTTAATTGAAAAGACATATTACAAAATTGTAGACTACGCGTTAGATAAAGATGTATAGAAAAATGGCATGGCTCTAGATTCCACACAAATTTGATTCAAAGTGCATATAATATAGCATTAATAGCATTGAAGTTTATTTGAAAAGAGCAATCCAAGAGTTTCTTCTCTGGGATGTCAGTGTAGTGAACGAGCAGTAGTTTAAAAAATGACGTTTTCACATTGACTTACTTGACATTGAATTATATGGACGTCGGGTTCGCGCTAAAAAGTGTCCGAACTTATAGGGCGTTAAAATCGTATACAGAGCGTCATTCACGCTTTAGTCTTTGTTTGTTCGACTGACAGCGAAGCAAGCAAAGTTAGATAGTACTGCGATGACATTACAATTTAAATTCAACGTTTTAGCTTTTTCATATTACTTTGCATGTCACTACGTTTAAATAGGTTGACTTGGGGCATTTTATCGTGGTTTTTGTATTAGACCCGTCGTCCATTTATTTGTAAGTCAATGCATTTTCAAGTGTAAAAATGTTACCTATGAAATAAATGATTATTTGACTTTGTATTTGAAAACATTTTGTCTACTAGAAATAAGATCTAAAATAAACTCCATAGTTCCATAACGTATTTATCACAGAAAACGGGAGAGAAAATTTAATTGAAATGTCTCTAACCACTCACGCTATACATGCAGCCGTAGACGCATACCACACCTAGAGGTGCCGGTGATGATTTTATACCAATTTATCGGATATCGAAGTTATAACAGGTAAAAGAACTAATATTAATTGGTATTTCGGTAACTACTCTAGCAAACCATAACGGTTTTAATGCCTGGGTTTGTCATTTAAAAAAAATAAACAACTTCAAAAATACGTCACGACAATCGTGTGTGTTATTGTTTGGGCTGGTGATTTCGGTGTTTATTTATTGAAAACATACCGTAAGTAGCGTTTTTTAAGTTTACCCTGAATATAAATGTTTATAAACTATACTTTAAGGAGTAATTTCATGGTAAACGTTAGAACCACTCAAACGGAATATTATCATATTTACCCAAGTACACCAAAAATGTCATTAGTGCTTTTTAAGTGCAGGATTTGCGGTGTATTACTGCATTTTATTGGAGATGTTTTTGTTGGTAGTAAGGTGGGTATTTATTTAGCAATGCAGAATAATAATTTTTATTCATAAAAACTTGTATTTAAACTGCATCCTTCTTTATTTTGCGAAACCAAATAGCCGCCATTTTGCGGTAGGAGGAGCGCATCGCGTGAGCGGCTAATAACAATCGAATGAAAATGATTTTCGCTAGATGAAATAGAAATGTTCGTCAATGGAAGTACTGCCACCTTATCTATTTCTGCCGCCGAGCAGTAATGTGAGATTATCTACTGTGTTTCAGATTTGAAGGGTGCAGGTGGAATCACAGGTACACGGGTACTTTGTGATATTAAGCTTTGACTATCACTGCAATTGGGCACCAAATATGCCAATTTTAAATCATCTCAATTGTGTGCCGAATGAATGTCAATGGCTGGATTTTCTACGTTTGGTATTCTGCTACAAGTTAAGAGCCATCGAGCTACTATACATCTGCCATTGCAATTTTTTGGTATTCTGCTTTTCAATGGCGAGTCGATGGCACGTTGATGGTGTAATAGTAATAGCTTTATTTATCCCTTACAATACTATAATATATATACAGTATTTAGAGTTAAGGAATATGTATTTGCGTGTGATGCACTTTGGTGGCATGGCTTACTGGGCTACGATCGCTCACCATATGGTACTGGCAGAAAACCAGCACTGTTGCTGACTGTAGCTGACTTCTCTCGGTCTACAGTATTTATGCTGAGTCAGGGCCATTTCAGCACAAACTGTAGTCATAGTTACATTAAAATTTTCTGAGTTCTTATCATTGACCTACAATGGTTCGTACAGTATTTGTTTGTTTTTCTCGCAGTATGTGTTTTATATAAATTTGTATAAAATTAATAATGAATGTTTTATATGCTTTTATGTTATACTCTGTGAAGTGATTGTAAATGTTTTGTTTTTGTTTGTATTTGTGCTGAATGAACGTGTTATCTATCTATAGTTTACTATATAACGTATTTAATTTCTATTTGTTAGGTTAGTACCTACGTTTTTCGAGTCGATTACATCTCACAAATGGTAGGAATGTAAACTAATTGCAACATACTCACTTAAACTTTTATCAACATAAAAGTTAGCTGGTATAGAAAAGTCGATTGACAGAAAGTTACCAAATTAACTGTAACCCTTGAGCTGACCTATCCTGCGTTAATATAATAAAGTGCGACCCAACTTTAAGGTCTTGGGGTTTTGTAATCTGAGCTTGGGGTCTACTGCGTACTAAATAAAGTCATGTTTGGACTTGAAATAGACCAATGATTCTGTTTCACATTTCACACACAAAATGTATTAATACACATGATATAAAAAATAAATGTTTCTAATTGTGTGGGCTTAGAATAATAACGCATAGAATGATAGTTTCATATCAAACGAACTGTCACAAGTGAGGCAAAAATCAAATTCATGTAGGCTAGTTTTAGTAGTAGGTTAATTTTCGGTTTTAGTGAATATTTATATAAAAATACAAGTTGAAACGCATTACTTCCTTGTGGAATGTGATGTTAGTATCTATTTTATGTTTGTCTGACGTATTTTTACACTTATTTACCGCACATTTCGTCATTTTTAGCTAAAATTCTTGATCTGTTCGCGGTACAAGTTGACCTTGAGCACTGACGGCCCGCCCGCTCGTGTAGGCCCATTGGGCGCGCTTCAATTTGCCTCACTTAGCGTGTGCGGACTAGGTTTCTATGCGTTATTATTCTAGGTGTGTAGATATACAAAATGTTTTGATGCGAAGTGCGAACACAATATTCCATAGCGGCTCTCTTCGTTTTTTTCGCACTCGTGTAAATTATTGGGTAGCGAATTTAGGCTTTGGCAAAATATTGGCCAAGTGATTTTGAATTGAATATCCTTTGTGTTAGAATTTATTATCGTTTAAGTATTTCCAATGAAGTCTGTACAGATTTTAAAAATAAAATATTGAACAACCAAAAACCCCTATATTCGTATATAACGAAGCTGAATAACTGTACAATAATGGACCAACTTAGTAACTTGAAAAAAAATTCATACAAAATTTTAGACAGCTAATTAATATAGTGTGGAGACAATTATCTTTTTTAACAAACTACGCATTTAAATAATAACAAGGTTCACGCGAAAATACAGGGATTTACGGTACTTAAAAGTAATATTTTTATTACTGCGTATAGAAAAAAAGGTATAACAAGCAATGTACCATACGTACATGCTACTAAATTATATCAATATTTACAATTAAGCTTAAAAATATATTTTTTTTACTAAATATAAATAATAAACCACGATTTAAAATATTTATCCATGTTTTTGGATAAATATCGAGTAAAAATGGATATTTATCCTGAGTATTTATCTCAATGATATTTATCCATGACCCATCTCTACCTCGGACATATTGTTATGTTACCTACAATAATATTTAATATGTTTTCAATTTTTATATTGTGTAGATGACGGCTGCATAATGTTCTAAAATCTGTGTAGGTTTATGCATGTTGTTTTGTTTTGTTAATTGAAAAGTTTAATAATAAATAAATAAATAAAAATAAAAGAAGAAGCAGATTTGGGGCCCGTGGGGCATTAACACTTGCATATATTTTAGAATGTTTTCTGTTTTTAATTACAATTTTTTTTCTAATTTTTATATATTTTGCATATAGTGCAGCACAGACAGCTGTTTAGTATACACTCCGCTTGCCGGCCTGATGCAGCAAGCGAATAGCTTTAAGATGAAGCCTGAAAATCAGCAATGCAGAGTCATCATCCTTTTTGTCAACGTTACAGTTCTTTTGTTTTAATTGTCATATGGATAAATAAATGCCTTTTACTTTTTTTATATACAGTAGTTATGCAAGAGATCTCCGCTTCTGCTTCCGCAACAGCGGAAGTTCCGCAAGCTTATTCATATCTGTTTCCGTTTCTGTTTCAGCAACATTTATAACGGAAGTTTAATTGGAAGATTACAACGTTTACTACGGATCTGGCGTTAGTGCGGATAGGTAGTATTTACAATATCAAGTGACGAGACAAAAAAGTCGTGCGCCTGATGGTTAGCTACACGCCTGTCCATAACTGTCACAGTGTCATTCGGAGCTTTGAATTGTAAAGATTTGAGGGGCACTGCCGCTGCTGTCACCCTGGGACGCAAGTTGACATGTCTCATATGTCTGTAATTCCACCAGCACCCTTATTACCCTTCAAAACCGGAATACAGTAATGCTGACATGCTGTACTTCCCTGGACGAACCTTTTCACAAGAAGCCCGTCCGCTACTAAATTTTGTTATGTGTAATAATTGCACTTAAGAGCGAGCATGCCAAAAAAGTTTTGACGTTGGCTCCGCCCAAATTTGTGAAACAAATATATGCCTGAAGTTCGCGTGACATACGATAGGAGATGTTGAATTTTGCGCATTAAAAGTACCAAATTCGTTTTAGCGGAATAACTCTAAAACTAAAGAGATTAAAACAAATCCGTAGTGACAGTTGTCGATCATGCATGAATATAATTAATTATCTGATTTTTGTCCTAATAACCTGTAGCATTTCGAGGATGAATCGGAAAAATCTGAAAATTAGAGTTCATTTCGTGATTTTTATCTATCGAGGAAACTTTATTGTTTTATGTTTCTGATTAATGTCTATGCTTGAATATATCGTGTAGTTACTCATACAATATTTTATTTTTAACTTTAAAGTGGATATACCCCTCTAAAATCAAATCGAAGATTAGGAATTTTTCCTCTGCTCCCTCTTAAATTATGAAACTAAAAACAAGCCCTGTTGGGAACTATTTTGTTGAGTTATTTCTAGTATTCACTTCGTTTCTGTTTCCGCTAACATTTACTTTTGACATCTGTTTCCGATTCTGTTTCCGTTATGACATCACTAATATACAATACTCACCACCATGGTGTCCGACGTTGATGCAATATGGTCTAAATAATCTGCTCTGCTTTAGCAAGTTCGTGGCATTGCTGAAATCGAGGTGCCAGCTGTCAAATAGCCTCTTAATACCAAATTTTAATATTCTGAATGAGTGTAGGGGAGCTGAAAACGAAAATGTAAGCTGTCTGGATATCACAACCCTCATGGACCAATGGCATAAGTGGAGTTACGTCAAAAACGTTTATTGCTCCATTAGATACAGAAAAATATAACCCACATCCTCTCTAATACTTGTAATTCTGTCGCCTAACATTGTAGATAGAGTTAGAAGAATTGGAGAGGATGTGGGTTATATTTTTCTGTATCTAATGAAGCAATAAACATGTTTGACGTCACTCCCTTATGCCATTCTTGCATGAGGGGTACGATGTTATGGTCTGGATATTATATTATGGATCTAATGGCGGACTTTCACACGGCCATTTGTATTCGATATTGAGTGTTTGATGTGTACTTGGAAAAATAAAAAATATGTGAGGTACACACAAACATGCAAGCACTGACAAAAATATGACCATCTACGTGGAATTACGTCAAACATGTTCATGACTCCATTAGATACAGAAAAATAAAACCCACATCCTCTGCAATTGGAGTGGATGTGGGTTATATTTTTCTGTATCTAATCTCCAATTGGAGAGGATGTGGGTTATATTTTTCTGCACCTAACGGAGCAATAAACATGATTGACGTAATCCGACTTATGCCATCGTTGCATGACTGAAGAGGTTGTAAACTGATAATGTGCCGTAACCAGGATCACGGCAATAAAATAGAATACACCTGTCCACAAAATTTATTTCATACGTCGAAAGAAAAAAGGAAGGCTGTAACAAGAAAAGGGTATAAAAAACAGGTACAACGCTACAAAACACTCCCTACTTTAGTACTAAAAAACGTGACTTATCCTGAGCTTATCCCGAAAGGACCGAGGTACACAATATTACTAGGGTACATTGGAGTTAAAATTATGAATAAAAAATATTTTACATATTCTCAACATATATACTTAAATTTTGAAATTTGGCTATAACTTATATCTTGTAACATAAAATGTTGATGAAAACGCACTTAAGCACATACCAATGCTCACACGCACACACACAAACACACACACACACACACACACACACACACACACACACACACACACA